TTTTTGTTACTAAATTATATAATTAGTCATACTGTAATAGTAATTATAAAGGATAATAAGTATAAACAGGACATTAAATAAATTCTAGGGAGCTTTAGTGGCTTAGTGGTAAGGAGTTGCACTGCCAACTCAAAGGCACTCAGTTCAAATTCACCAACTTCTCTGAAGGAAAAACATGAGCAATCTCCATCAGAGCAATTTACTGCCTCTGAAAACCTGCTGGAGGGTCAGTTATGAGGTGGTTGTAACTCAACAGTAAATAACAATAAATAAACCCCAAACAGAAAGTATGCCTTTTAAGTATATCTCAATCAACTGAGAAACAAATACTGTCTTGCAAAGCCTTTATTCCTGAGCAGAGCATTCAGCAGCTAACTGAAACATCTGAATGCACCTGTATCGCTCTGCAGAATAAAAAGATTTTTGCTGATTTGCTCCTTCAAAGACTGCAGTCTAGAAAACCTATGGAGCATTCACTGTGTCAGACAATAAGGACTGCACAGAAAGAATTTGTTTTTAGCAAGCCATCCTTCTGTGATACGTATAAAGAATTAAAACAATTTCTTTTGAAATTGCAAAATGAGGGGTATGGTAGGGATAAAGTAGTTTAAAGATAGATGAAAAATAAATAAACGTTCACGGTATGTCTCTGGTGATGCTATAGCCCTCATTTAGTGATAATAATCAGGTAATTACTGGATAAGGGTAAAATATTAAGTATGCAAATTTTCTTCTGTTTCTATTTTTAAAACTACTAAGAAATCCTAAGAGGTATAGAAATTTCTACAGATTATGTAACAAGTTGAGTAAAGCAGTACTCACATCTTAACTAGGTTTCAACCTTTATTTAAAAATATGCTTTAAAGGTACATGATTTAAAGTGCATAACTGCATTATCTAAATAGGAAAATATATGATTTAGTCATTCAGAATCTTTTTATCAGATGTTATTTCCCAAACAGTTTTACAACTCTGATCACTGTATAAACACCACTATCTCTTCAATTTGCATTGCGGTTTGAATTTGATTCTCTCCATAATCATCACTAACCATCATTTATGTAGGTATGAACAGAAAAACATCTTTGGTAGCACCAAATAGATATGATTTTGAGATGCAGTGAAACAAATGCATGGCATAGCAAGATGATAATGAATTTGTTAGAATTAGATATAATTTTTTTAACTTAATAGTATGCTTTTATTTAAAAAATAAAACTTTTTTAAAAGAAGATTTACCTTGTCCTTGAAGATGAGATATATCCAACCCTTCCTTTAAGCGGATAACCACCACTCCATATTGGATGTCAAAGGCATCACTACAGAGGAATTGAGGATGGAGAGAGGAGGGGGAAAAATTAAAATTTCAATATCCCTTTATGAAATGAAAGCAACAGATAGTAAACTCTCAAATTACGTTTATCTCTAGTTTGTTTCAATTTAAACATGCTTGAAAAATTACTTGATGAATAAATATATAATTGCAAATCTTATACCTTTTCCATTCTCCCATAATATCCTTGAGTTCTACTTTAGTGAAAATCATTATAATATTGATATTCTAGCTGATAATAAGCTATTCAAAACAGTCTGTTTAGCTTTATTCTATCAGAAATAGAGCAACTATAAAATTACAGAGAAATAATTTACAGTAGTGTTAGCTGAATTGTGTACTTAAAGTCCAAAGAAACATATGAAGATAATGTAGATAAAAATTTTCTAACAATGACAACAGGCTGTAGAATATGAGGAAATAATTTCTGAAGGGACAAAAGATTTTTAAAAAATATTTTGTATTTCCTTTTAATTACTGTAACTAGAGATGGATATATATATATATAAAATACATTAAACTTACAAAAGCAACTAAAACAGGCAGAATAAAAATGTGGAAAGTCACTAAAGCATAATTCATGTAAACTGATCTTAAATTAAACAAAATCAGATTCAAAACTTTAGATTGTTACCTAAAAGTAGTAACGGACTTACTGTTTTAAAATTACTTTTAATTATGTACAGAATCTATACTTACTGTATACATGTAAAAAAGAAAAGTATATGTATATTCATGATCTTATATATCAAAAAGAAAAAGTGAACGCAATAAAATAAAACCTTGCTTGAAGAAAGTGAAGACACATTGAAGAAGATCAAAGACTACAGCCTTCAATATGGGTTACACTTCAATATAAAGAAAAATAAAAATCCTTACCACTAGACAACATCATGACAGATGGAGAAGAGAGTGAAGTTGTCAATTATTTCATTTAACTTTGATCCACAAACAACATTCATGGTACCAAGAGTTAAGAGATCAAAACATATGCTGCACTGGGGAAATCTGCTGTCAGAGACCTCGTTAAAGTACTAAAGAGTAAAGATACTAATTTCAAGATGAAGGTGCTCCTGATGCATGTTATGTTATTTTCAATTGTGTGCTATCAATCTAAAAGTTGGAAAATGAGTAAGAAAGATTGGAAAAGAACTGATGTTTTAGAATTGTGAATTTGATGAGGAATACAGAATATATCATGGGCTTTTAAATCTGTCTTAGAAGAGGTATAACCAGAATGTTCTTTAGAAGTAAAGATTATAAGACTTTATCACACTTAAACAACAACAAACAACAACATCACACTTAACAATAACACTAACAAATGGAAGAATGTGTTCAGGACAGTGTATGTGGTTGCAAAGGGTCTCTAAAAAACAAAAATAAGAGGAATACTATCTTGGCTTCACTTCTCTATGTTTGAACAAATACCTAAGTAAATCTCTGAAGAAGAAATTTAATAGACCTATTAACAGCCCCAAGATGTAACTGTAAAAACCTAACATACTACAGAAAAAAAGAATTTTATAAAATCTAATAAATCCTATGAATCAAAACCAAATTATTTAAAGGAAAGTCAGGGAATTTAGATTCCCAAGTTTACTTTCAAAGTAAAAATAGTTAAATCTGCTTGTTTAAAAATTGATGGACAGTAAAAATTGATGGACAGTAGCTGAATTTGAATGATAGAGGACAAGATTAGTTGTGGGATGATATCAAGAATATTATCCATGAAGAAAGCAAAAGGTCATTATAAAAACAGAGGTAACAGGTGTTGCCTGCAACTCATAGCGACACTATGTACAACAGCTCTGAACCCTGGCCTATCTTGAGCCAGCCTTACCATCTCCGTTATTCCTACCCACATTACCCCAGACACTGAGTCAATCCATATCATCCAGGGTCTTTTTCTCCTGTACTCTCCTTCTCCAAAGACTGGTCCCTTCTTGCAACACGCCCAAAGTATGTCAGATGGAGCTTCAGAATCCTTGCCTCCAAGGAGAAGCCTGGTTTAACCCTCTCCAGAATGAATCTGTTTGTTTTCTTAGCAGTCCATGGTATATGCAACACTCTTCTCCAGCACCACACCTCAAAGGCATTAATTCTCCTTTTATCATCCCTAGTCAAAACAGACTCTAAAGATGGCACTAGAGCACTGAGGAGCCACAACGAAAAGAAATCATGTTGAAGAGAAAAGAGTTGATCAGAAGACTGCAAAGGGCAGCTCAGGAGGACAAAGTATTATGAAGGACAGGACAGAGAAATGGAATTGAAGGGAAAATAAAGAAAATAATTTGGAAAAGCTGGTTTCAGACCTCATATGCTGTTAAAAAAGTAGTAACAAAGAATATTAAGGAGGTCAAGTGGCAGGTAGAGAGTGTGGTTTGTTGTGGTGTGCTGCTAACCAAAAGGTCCATGGTTTTAATCTGTCAGCAGCTTTGTGAAGAAAGAGTAGTCTTTGTCCATTGAGATTTACAATCTGGGAAACCTGACTCAAAAACAGCTGGAATAAAGCTAAATGAAATGATAATGAGAACTAGAGAACTACAACCAAAAAATTAAGGGGAAGTGCTACAAGAAAGAAGAGCAATGTCACTACTTTAAAATTATTATTTATGTCCATGGCTGTGGACACCAAGACGTACTTCTAGTCCATCCACTCTTTAATTGATATCCAATAAACAATATTCAGATTCATACTTCACTTTTAGGGAAACACTCACTTGAATCTTACAAGGCCAAAGAGTCTTTCTTCCCAATGCTCCCATTATGAGGCAACATGCAGGTGTAGGAAAGGATTATTTTAAAAAATGTCATCCTTTCTATTTTTCTAGGATATTACTCCATCTTAAGTGTTGCGTTTTGAGAAAAAAGTATATACAGCTAACATGAGAAAATCTATCTTTCAACACTGTCCTTTTCTCCCTAATTACCACACATCCTAGACACAGAGAGATAATTACAAAGCTATTTTAAGACTTTTTACAAAAGAGTGCCAAAATCAAAGCTAAAACAAAGAACAATATACAATGAACGTGCAAAGTTTCACTTTATAAAATGTATTTAAAATTAAGGAGAAATCCTATAAAGAGAAATCCATATATAAAGAGTTGGGTTTGTTAAGTTTTGGTTGTTTATATTTAAGTCATCCAACAGCCAGGGAAAAAAAAAAGACAAATTGCATTGAGAAAGTCTGCTGTAAGGGACCTCTCTAGAGTACTGAAAAGCAAAGATGTCAGCCTGTAGACTAAGGTGCGCCTGATCCAGGACATAGTTTTTGCAATTACTTGCTATGCATCAGAAAGCGAATAAACAATGACTAGGGATGACAGAAAGAGAACTGATGCCTTTGAGCTGTGGTGCTGGAGAAGAGTACTGAATATACCATGGACTGCTAGGAGAACAAAAAGGTTCGTACTGGAGAGGGTGAGACAAGGCTGCTCCTTGGAGGCAAGGATTCTGAAGCTTCATCTAACATACTCTGGGCATGCTGCAAGGCGGGACCAGTCCTTAGAGAGGGACTCCATGCTCGGGAAGATGACGGGACAGTGCGAGACAGGAAGACCCCTGGACGAGATGGATTGATTCAGTGACTAGGGTAATCAGGATGGGTGTGTCAGACAGTGAGGTTGGGCACAGGATAGAGTAGGGTTCAGAGCTATTGTACATAGGGTCGCTATGCGTTGGCACATAACAAAAACAACAACAACAACAAAACTTAAATCTTCAAAGATTCTTCAAGGTAGGGAAAAAAGTAATTTGTGACACAGGTGATTAAATATATCGATAAATACATTGGAATTCCAGTAAAGGAGATGATCTCAGGAAATTAGGGGTAATCAGGAACTGATTTGCTGGTGCAAACATATAAACAATACTTGAAAAACGGGCAAAAAGCTGACGGTTTAAAATCTACCTACAAGCCCCTGAGGAAAAGAGCCTGGAAAACCCTACGAAGTAGTTTCACTCTGCATATGTGGGATTGTCATGAGTCAGCATGGCTAAGCAGCAACTAACAACAACAACAACAAAAGGGTAATCAGATCAAAATTTACTTAAATGTGGTTTTAGAGCTCTTTTTAAACAATAACAACAAAAGGGACATCTGTCTATATATTTTATAAGAGTGACAGCTAGTTCTAGTTCATGGGTGGCTATCATAAGAAGATATATCTAACTGGGCATGGCCACTTAAGTGTTTTCCTAGTGTGAACACACCTAAATAAGTATATTAATTAATATATTAATTAATTCTAGGGGGCAATTAAAGGAGATATCTAAACCTAACAAAACTTTTTTAAAAGGTTATTTTGGTTTCCTTAAATAACTCAGTTGCAAAACTACTGGTGGTAAAGAAACACAAAAACGTTATTAACATAAAAAGTAAACTAGAAAAAAAATAAGAATCCTTCCATATAAACAGAAGAAAGTAAAATGACACAAAACAGAAATAAACTTACTGATAAAGATCCCTCAAAATACTGAAAAATAAACAGAAACCACACACTTTCAAGTAAAACATGTAAGTGTAGTTTAAAAACAATAATTTAATCAATGATTCAAATGATTGATTAACTGCAAAATTAGTTGGAGAAGGCAGAAAATCTAGGTATCTGAGGTTCACGTCTCTGAATTAAATGCCCTTCCCCAGTGTAAGAACTTAAAATGATGTGGCTAAGACAGTGAAGTGTCTGACAATACTTGACACTTGGTTTAGGAGCAGCTTTAGTATTAGAAAAAAGTGCACTAAACGGAAAAGATATGCACTCATTATGTAATAGATGTACGTAAAATCTGTGCATATGTATGCAAAGAGATATAATAAAATTGTTACTAGTTAATCAATTTAGAACACAAATTACTTTCCCTTTTCATTATTAATCTTCTATTAAAAACTAGTAAGAGAAACAGGCTTCAAATACTAATGCCATCTTTCAAAATAAGTTACATCCAAAATGATCAAGTTCTTCAATTAAATAAGTACTTACTGAAATAAATTTATATACATATCCACATCTCTCATATCTGCTTGTAGCCAATCTTTCTTAAATCCAAGCACAAGTGTGTTTGGTTTCATACGACCAAGACCAGCAGCCTAAAAGAGAGAATATATACTTCAAAGTCATGCAATAAAATATTATTTTGGGATTTTTCAAAATGACAAAATCCTTCAAATAGTCTTTAAACATTTTAAACATTTAAAATCATTGCTAGCTAAGTAATTAAAAACCCTTACTAGCTTAGTCATTAAGACCTTTACTCGTAGAGACAAGCCAAAGCAGAAGGAAGAATTCAAGATACTTAAAGAGCTGAAGAGAAGATTTCAAAAGGAAGTGTGGAATGACAAAGTAAAATATTACAATCAAGGAGCTAGAGTCAGAAAATCAAAAGGGCCAAACTTGCTCAGCATTTCTTAAGCTCAAGGAGCTGAAGAACACATTCAAACCTCGAGTTGCTATAATCAAGGATGCTTTAGGCAGAATATTAAATGATCCAGGAAGCATTAAAAGAAGATGGAAAGAATATACTGAGTCACTCGATCAAAAGGAATTGGCAGACAGAGAAGAATTTCATGAAACAACATATGAGCAAGAGGCTATGGTGATGAAGGAAGAAGTTCAAGCTGCTGTGAAGGAAATAGCAAAAAATAAGGGCCCAGGAATAGATGGTATGCCAACTGACATATTTCAGCTAACAGATGCTACCTTGGATATGCTCATCAAGTTGTGCCAAGAAATCTGCAGAACAACCACTTGGCCAACTGACTAGAAGAGATCTTTATTTGTTCCCATTCCAAAGAAGGGTGACCCAACAGACTGTGGAAACTATAAAACAATATCATTGATTTCACATGCAAGCAAGTGTCTACTGAAGATTATACAAAAATGACTGGAAGAGCACATCAGCAGAGAACTGCCCGAAGTCCAGGCTGGGTTTAGAAGGGGTTGTGGTACTAGGGATATTGTAGCTGATGTTAGATGGATCTTGGCTGAAAGCAGGGAATGTCTATCTGTGTTTCATTTACTATGCAAAGGTGTTTGGCTGTGTGGTTCATATCAAACTGTAGCTGACTCTGAGAAGAATGGGAATCCCAGAACACTTGATCGTCCTAATGTGAACAGGAGGCAGTCGTCAGAACGGAGCAAGGAAACACTGCATGGTTCAAAATTGGGAAGGGCACATGCCAAGGGTGTGTCTTTTCTCCACACCTTTTCAACCTGTGTGCAGAACAGATTATCTGGGACTGGGCTCTATGAGTAGAAATGTGGGGTCAAGATTGGTGGAAGATCTATCAACAGTCTGCATTATGGAGATGACACAACCCTGCTTGAGGAGGACCTGAAGCGCTTGCTGCAGAGGGTCAAGGACTGCAGCCTTCAGTATGTACTGAGGCTCAGTATCAAGAAGAAAAAGATTCTCACCACTCGACCAATTGGCAGCATCAGGATGGATGGTGAAGAGATTGGAATTGTTCACAGTTTTAGTTTGCTTGGCTCCACAGTCAACACACTTGGCACCACCAGCAGCCAGGAAATTAAAAGATGTACTGTGATGGGCAAGTCTGCTGTTAGGGACCTCTCCAAAGCACTGAAGAGCAATGGTGTCTCTCTGGAGACTAAGGTGCGTATGATACAGACCACGGTCTTTGCAATCACTTGCTATGTGTCAGAGAGTTGGATAATGACTAGGGAGGACAGAAGGAGAATTGATGTCTTTGAGCTGTGGTGCTGAAAAAGAGTATTGAGTGTACCATGGACTGCTAAGAAAACAAACAGATTCATCCGGGAGAGGGTTAAACAGGCTGCTCCTTGGAGGCAAGGATTCTGAGGCTTCGTCTGACATACTTTGGTCATGCTGTAAGGAGAGACCAGTCCTTGGAGAGGGATGTCATGCTTGGGAGGGTGGAGGGACAGTGCAGGAGGGGAAGGCCCTCTTTGAGGTAGACTGATTCAGTGACTGCGGTAATCGGGATGGGTGTGTTGGTGACAGTGGGATTGGCACAGGACAGAGCAGAATTTAGGGTTGTTTTACATAAGGTGACTATGAGTTGCAAGCGACTCAACAACACAATCAACAACAACAATAGTTGACAGAACATGCCGGAAATGAAAATTCTACTTACGATCAAATTTGTAGCATTCATATACAAAGAACTTTAAAAAATTGGGACATTAAAATATACATTAAAAAATGTATATTTGTTTTTTCACTTTATTTGTTAAGTGCTGTCAAGTTGATTATGACTTATAATGTTGTTGTTGTTATGTGCCGTTGAGTCACCTGCGACTCATAGCGACCCTATGTACGACTTATAATGACTCTAAGAAAAACACATCTGAATCTTGTCCTATTTAGTCTCTGATACGCTTGAGCCTGTTGCTACAGTCACTATGTCAAATTCATCTTGTTGAGAGTCGTTCTCTTTCTCTGCTCATCTACCTTTCTCAGAATGCTCTTTACCCAAGGACTTGCCTCACCTGATTAACATATCCCAAATATATGGACTAACGTCCACCATCCTTCCACCTAAACAACACCCTAGTTGCACTTCATCTAAGACAAGTTTGTTTCTTCTTTTTTCAGTTCATGAGCTATTCAGTACTTTTTTCCAACATCACAATTCAAAAGTATTAACTATTCTTTTGTCATCCTTTTTCACTATCCAACTTTAAGAGGTACATAAAGCAAAGGAAAATACCAAGGCTTGGATCAGGCGCACAGTGGCCTTTAAACTGACATTACTGCTCTTTAGCATTTTAGAAAGGTTCTTGACAGCAACAACTGCCCAATCCAACACTTCTTTGGATTTCTTTTCCTTATTAAAATTTTATACTGGTTTGCAAAAAAAGTTCGTATACATTGTATTTCATATTATCCCTCATTCACACTGTGTTTCATACATACATTCATATTGTTTGGTTTTCGGTGTTTGTGTTTTGCCTTTTTTTAAATTTCCAGTCATTCATTGTTGCACATTTTCCTCCCTGCCTACACCCACTGCAGTTTGTTTTTTCTTTGGGGAAGGAAAAAAAATAAATCTTTCATTGTTGTACAATTCCCCACCCCTACCCCAGCCTGCTTTATTATGCAGTTCTAATTCTGGACTGTTGTCATGCCAATAATACCGAATCATGTATTCCTTTTAAGCAGTCCCTCATCTGTTTCAATGCAGTGTATATTATTTATCCTCATTTTTCTTAGTTTTCCCCCAACACTGGTATCTGTCCTGTTTCATAACAGTGGCGCTATGCAATATTTGTCCTTTTGTGACTGAGATATTTCACTCAGCAAAATATCCTCCAAGGTCGTCCGTTTTTGGTATTTCATGAGTTCCTTGCTTTTCAGTGCTGCATAGTATTCCACTGTGTGAATATATCACATCTTCTCTATTAATCTGTTGATGGGCACTTGGGTTATTGTATCTCCTTGCTATTGTGAACAATGTAACAATAAACACTGCTGTGCATTCTTTTGATTTCTTAAAAAGGGTAGCCATGGGTATGAATTGTGGATTCAAGTAAAATGAAATCATTGTCAAAGTAAAAACTTTTGATTGGCACAACAACAATGGGCTTAAGCACAGGAGATATTGTGAGGATGGTTCAGGATCCTGCAAGGTTTGAATGTAAATATCTAGGAGATGGATTTTACTCAATGGTACAACATCTTAGAACTTTCATATTTTTAATGAGGTTTTTTAAAAGCACAATACAATGAGCTCATGTTAATTATATGTATTGCTTTAAGGTTTCAATGGGCTGCTATCCAAATCCAATGAAATGATTTGTACTGTTTCCTTGTTAGCTGTAATTCTGAATTAAATGAAAATCAAATTTTCAAATCTCTATAAACTGTGCAAAAGTTTCTGTTGACATTTGGTTCATGTCCACTCTCAACTGTTCGAATAATCAAATGCATCTGGAGTTGTAGTTCAGTATGTTTTATAATGTTTCTGAAAGCCTGATGCATCTTTTGTAAATCGTAGTAATCTATTTTAATGAAATATATTTAATAAACAATATGAACAATGAAATCACTTGAAGGAAAGGTTTTTAATATCGAAATATGTATTAGATCTGACTAGATTATATATTAGATCTGTTTTGGCTGAGGCTTGGGTGAGAGTCTGTTGCTCGCAATTGGGTGTGAGCCAATTGGATTTAGCCTTGTATTTTAAAAAAATGTATTTGTTTGCCAGTTTGAAGCAGCTTTAAAGTTTGCAAGGGTGAGTGGAGCAGCTGGATTACAAAGATGTGTTTTCTGTTTAGGCTGAGGTGTGAGTGGGACTGTTGCTTGCAAATGGGTGTGAAGTGACTGGATTTATCCTTCATTTCAAAAGGAATTTGAATGCCAGTTTGAGGCTGCTTTAAAGTTCAGGAAGGTGAGTAGAGCAGCTGGGTTCTACAAAGGTGTGTTTTGATTGTTTTCAGTCAAACATTCTTCTAAGTAGTATAGCACTGATGTGTCAATTTGCTCTACAAAGGTAACTCATGGTTGCTCTGATATTAAAACACTGTGACACTGATGTGTTAAATGCAATAATGGTTACCCATGGTGGAGTGTTTGATGGAGCTCTCAAATTAAAACAAGTTAGGAAGCAGGAGTGGCATACACTTCCAAAATAGATTGTTTCCCAAAACCTGATGAACTTGGAAAAATGATGAAAGTTATACAAATGTTCAGGTCTTTTGTTCATAGGGTCACTATGAGTCATCTATGACTCGTCAGCACTTAACAACAATACAGAGTTAAAAAAACACATTTGAAATGCATAACACATTTACCTGCATCAAATACTGTGCACCTTCTCTCAAATCATCCGCATGTACTGGAGCATAAAAACCCTTCATTTTATTTTTAATAAGCCATCGCTGATATCTGGCTTGATCAATTGATATTTCTTTCATGGCTTGTCTTCGAGGGCCCTGTCAAAAAGATAAAAATGGTATGTGTAATTGAAAGTAATATCTTTTACATTTATAAAAATCATCTTTATATTGGATTAAATAAGGTGCCTAAAAGGGGGTCAAGGCAGAGATAACAGAATATAATGACAGTATTTAATCTCTATCTCAGTGAATTCTTCTAATCTTTAAGATAATGTTAAGGTTGTGCAGATAAACCAGCAGAAGGTTTTCTTAAAAACTTAGGAAGTAAGTAGAAGAGATAAACCAGGAATTATTTAGAGGAGAAAAAAAATCTCACTGCAATATAAAAGCTTTTGCCTCTCTTCTTTTCTTTAAAAAAAAGTTGTCTAGCTTGTTTTTGTTTGCCCCATATATCTGAATTATCAATTCTCAATGACTCAAGAAATACCACCTATTTCTAAATTACCTATATAAAAGCACTTCCCCTCATAATTCTGTTAAAAAACAGAGGCAAACTTTTTAACTTGCAATCATTTCATTACAAGTTAACACCTAAAATGCTGTTGTTATGTGCCGTCGAGTCATTTGCGACTCATAGCGACCCTATGTACAACAGCCCTAAACCGTGCTCTATCCTGTGCCAATCTCATTGCCTCTGATATACCCAACCCGAGTACCCCAGTCACTGAATCAATCCACCTCATAGAGGGTCTTCCCCTCCTGCGCTGTCCCTCTACTCTACCAAGCATGATGTCCCTCTCTAAAGACCTGTCTCTCCTTACAACATGTCCAAAGTATGTCAGACGAAGCCCCAGAATCCTTGCCTCCAAGGAGCAGCCTGGTTTAATCCTCTCTACGATGAATCTGTTTGTTTTCTTGGCAGTCCATGGTCCATTCAATACTCTTCTCCAGCACCAAAGCTCAAAGGCGTCAATTCTCCTTCTATCCTCCCTAGTCATTGTCCAACTCTCTGATGCATAACAAGTGATTGCAAAAATCATAGCCTGTATCAGGCAGACCTTAGTCTCCAGAGAGACACTGTTGCTCTTGAGTATTTTGGAGAGGTCCCTAACCTCAGAGTTTCCCATCGCAGTAAGTTTTTTTATTTCCTGGCTACTGGTGCCAAGAGTGTTGACCGTGGAGCCGAACAAACTGAAGCTGTGAACAATCTCAATCTCTTCGCCATCCATCCTGATGCTACCGATTGGTCCAGTGGTGAGAATTTTTGTCTTCTTGACATTGAGCCTCAGTCCATATTGAAGGCTGCAGTCCTTGACCCTCTGCAGTAAGTGCATAAGGTCCTCCTCAGTTTCAGTGAGCAAGGTTGTGTCATCTGCATAACGCAGATTGTTGATAGATCATCCACCAATCCTAGCATCACGCTTCTCCTCATAGAGCCCAGCCTCTCGGATAATCATCTGCTCTGCATACAGGTTGAAAAGGTATGGAGACAGGACACATCCCTGGCGTACACCCTTCCCAATTTTGAACCATGCAGTGTTGCCCTGCTCTGTTCTGACTACTGCCTCTTGGTCCAAGTATAGGTTTCACATTAGCACGATTAAATGTTCTGGGATTCCCATTCTTCTCAGAGTCAGCCACAGTTTGTTATGATCCACGCAGTCAAATGCCTTTGCATAATCAATGAAACACAGACATTCTTCTAGCATTCTCTGCTTTCAGCTAAAATGTATTCTAAGAAAATGCATAAAACCAAAACTAAGTGCAAGAGAGGAAGACTCTGGATGAGATGGATTGACTCAGTTCCTGGGGTAATGGGGTGGGTGTGTCAGAGACAGTAAGGCTGCCTCAAGACAGAGCTGGTTTCAGAGCTGCTGTATATATGGTCACTATGAGTCACAAGCGACCCAATGGCCCATAACAACAAGTTTAAGCAGAAACACAGACTATAAATAAGAAAAAAGGAAAACAAAATTCATTCCTCCTAGGAGAGAAATTGTTCTACATTTGTAAACTCTCATGTTCAATCATGATCTCGATTTACAAGAGACCCTAATCAGGATCAGTGTCTTACTCTGTACCCCATCTTTTTCCACTTCACACACACGGAGCTTTGGCTCTGTCAGTGTATAAGTGGAAGAGAAGCATTAGCAGAGGATAGGCACTGTGCATACAAGACACATTTTCTAGCAACCAATACAAGATGAACCGCAGAGCTGGAAGGAAAGGTAATTTATTAAGTATAAAACTTCATTCTGTAACTCCACAGCAAAGAGGTCAATAAATTGAATATCATGTTCTACAAATTTTTACTAATTATTTACCTAGTTGTTGTTGTTATGTGCCATCGAGTCATTTGCGACTCATAGCGACCCTATGTACAAAAGCCCTAAACCCTGCTCTATCCTGTGCCAATCGCATTGCTTCTGACACACCCATCCTGATTACCCCAGTCACTGAATCAATCCGCCTCATAGAGGGTCTTCCCCTCCTGCGCTGTCCCTCCACTCTACCCAGCATGATGTCCCTCTCCAAAGACCTGTCTCTCCTTGCAACATTTCCAAAGTATGTCAGACGAAGCCCCAGAATCCTTGCCTCCAAGGAGTAGACTGGTTTAACCCTCTCTTGGATGAATCTGTTTGTTTTCTTGGCAGTCCATGGTACATTCAATACTCTTCTCCAGCACCACAGCTTAAAGGTGTCAATTCTCCTTCTGTTCTCCCTAGTCATTCATTAGTAAATTGTTTACTTTAAATTAGTGAAAATATTCACTATTTACTTTAAATGTAAACAAAACACAACAACAAAACCCCCAAGAGAAATAAAACGCTGTAACTTAACATATTCAAGATTCACCTGAATCTCTACATGCTGGAGACATTAGTTCCCTTTCTAGATATTAATCAGGTTCTATTCACCTTCTCCCACCAGTTTTAGGTTTCCTAACAAGTAAACATGGCCAGCATTCCTGAGATATTATGGCAAATATCACCATAAACAGTAGTATACTCAATTATATCTAAAACCTGCAGTCATAAAGTTATTTTCTAGTTACAGTATGGCTAAAATCTCACAAAGAATAAAAACACTAAAGTTCAATAATTCAATAACTAAATAAATAAATGTGATACAGCATAGCGGTGAAAATATATTTAAGGAAATAACTCTGTCTTCAAAAAGTAAATAAAATAAATAAAAGAACTACTGCTCAGATATTACTCTTGTTAAGTCTGTCATACCTAGAAAACATCCCCTATTACACAAATTACATTCAGAGAGCAAAAAAATTTATTTAATATGGAATATATTAGCACTTACCATATGTACATGTCCACAGATCATTAAACCAACATTTTTTGTGAAATCATGAACAAGATGAAGTAAAGCTGGGCGTGAGTTTGGTGCTCCTGTCATAACAAGACACTGTGGTCTAATTGAAGATTAGAAAGAGAAAGAAAAAAAATCAACAAAAATATATCAGAGAAGCTTAGGTTTTTGTACTAAGAATGTATCAATTCTCTAAGAATAGGGAATTACATTACATTAAACTTTATGAACTTTTCATAGACATAGGCCATAAAGATTCTCACTAAAAACTTTCAGCCAAACCGTCTCAAAGCATAAGAGAGACCTGGTGGGTTGTTAACCAAAAGGTCAGTGGTTCAATTCACCAGGCAGTTTGAGGCAGAAAAAGTCAATTTCCTCTATAAATTGTTAAAACCTGGAAACCTAAAAAAGAGGTGTTATGAATCAAAATGCACATGACAGCACTGGATTTAGTTTCCTGAGATTCTCAATGTATGAGAAATGCAGAAACAAAATCTTTTTGGAACACTTTGCCAATTGCCCTGTTAAAACAATAAGCAATACTTTTAAGTCACAATTCTAGAAGGTATTCCTAAATAAAATTACCATGTATTTGAAAAAAAAAATGTAGAACTTTAGTCTTCTAAAAGTGATATTCCAGTTCTTTCCAAGAATTCTCAAAACTTCCTGACACCATAGTCACTTCACCTCTTAGCTTGACTGCCTTACTTGTGATATCAATCGTATTTCATCTAACAATTTTAACAACTGTCACAGCAAGCAAATTACTTTTAGTGAAGAAAATGTTTCTATCGAGTCCAAAAGTATAAATTTCAATGAAACATTGTTTAAAAAATAAAACAGAATTAAATTGCCTGGACTAACACTGAACAGCATTTATCGTTTCTCTACTTTCCTAATTGTTGCCCTGCACCCCCACCTTCTGACAAATAGTAGAAATCAGATTTGCTTTCAGAACAAATAGAAACCAAACTCAAATTGGGTAATCAAAATAAAACTTAATAGAAAGCAAACCCACAGTATAAAATGAAGTCTTAAACACATTTTGAGAATGTTACTTTGGACCAACCAAATGGGAAATGAGGCTGTATGGCTATGGACATAATTTGTCCTTAGTATCTATTCAGGTTGTATGGCTTCCTAGGTAGATAATGTATTTCCTAGCAACTAAAGTTTATTTCCAAATCATGCCTTTATAAAAAAAGCTGCTGACTTTATCTATCATCTTTTCCTTTTGTGTAATCTAGACTACAAATGTGGTATTCTAGGGAATAGTGGACTAACAAGAGATAAGGAATGTAGGTCCTGACTGACCTGATGCAACAAATCTCTTTGCCGGCCATAAACCATTCACTCATCTCTATGGATTGAAACTCAACAAGAAAACAAAGATTCTCACTACTGGGCCAAATGGCAGCATCATGACAGATGGTGAAGAGACTGAGATTGTAAAGAGGTTTCATTTGCTTGGCTCCACAATCAACACTCTAGGTACCAGCAGCCAGGAAATTAAACAAATTTCACTAGGAAAGTCAGCTGTCAGGGACCTCTCTAGAGTACTAAAGAACAATGAGGTCAGTCTGGAGACTAAGGGGTGCCTGATAAAGGCCATGGTCTTTGCATATACTTACTATGCATCAGAGAGACGGATAATGACTATGAATGACAGAAGGAGAGTGGATCCCTTTGAGCTTTGGTGATGGAGAAGAATACTGAACATACTATGGGCTGCTACAAGAACAAACAAGTTTATCCTGGAGAGGGTGAAGCCAGGCTGCTCTTTGGAGTCAAGGATTCTGAAGCTTCGTCTGACATACTTTGGACATGCTGCAAGGTGGGATCAGTCCTTGGAGAGGGCCGTCATGCTTGGGAGGGCAGAGGGACAGCACAGGAGAGGAAGACCCTTGATGAGATGGATTGATTCCATCACTGGAGTAATGGACATAGGCATGTCGGAGACAATAAGATTGGCACGGGATAAGGCAGGGTTTAGGGCTGTTGTAAATAGGGTAGCTATGAGTCACAAGCGACTCAACAGCACACAACAACAACAAGAAGGGAGAAATGGAACACATAAATATTACTAGGCATTGGTGAAATTAGACTGGCATGAGACATTTTGAGTCAGAAAATAATATTATCTACTACACTAAAAATGAAAAGGTGAGGAAATATGGGATTGCTTTCATAGTTAAAATGCTCATTTCTAGATCCATCCTGCAAGACAATGTTGTGAGTGACAGATGATATCCATAAACATACAAGGATATAGGGTGATTATCACTATCATTCAGATATATGCACCAACAACTAGAGCCAAAGAGGAGGAAATAGATGATTTCTACCAACTTTTATAGGAAATTGATCAAATGTTCAACCAAGATGCAGTAATAATAACAGGTGACTGGAATGCAAATGTTGGACATAGGAAAGAAGAATCAGTAGCAGGAAAACATGAATTTGGTGACAGAAATGAAGCTGGAGATAGACAGAGTTTTGTACAATCAATGATTTATTCACTGAAAATACCTTTTATAAAAAACATAAATATCAACTACACACATGGACTTCAACTAATGGTACACATAGGAATTAGACTGACTACATCTTTGTGAAAAAAAATTACTGGGGAGGCTCAACATCAGCTATGCTGTGAAAACTAGGCCAGGTCTTAACTGTGGAGCAGACCATTAACTACTCATATGTAAGTTCAAACTAAAAGCTAAAGAAAATGAAATAAAAATTATAAGAACAAAAATGTGACCTTCAGGAGTCTAGGCCACCTGAAAAATCATCTAAGAAACAGGTTTGAGGCCTTGAACATTAATGAATGAAAAACAGGTGAGCTTTAGGAAGATATAAAGAGTATCATTCATGAAGAATACAAAAGGTCATTATAAAGTGAGAGGAGGAAGAAAGGACCAAGATGGATGTCAGTAGACTCTGATTATTGCATTAGAGTACTGAGAAGCAAAAGCAAAGGGAAGGAGTCAGGGAGTTAAGGAGCTAAATAGAACATTTCAAAGTACAGTTCAGGAGACAAAGCAAGTATTATAATGAAATGTGCAAAGAGCTGGAGTCAGAAAATCCAAACGGCCAACTTGCTTGGCATTCCTTAAGCTGAAGGAACTGAAAAAATTGAAGGCTTGAATTGCAGTACTTAAGGATTCTATGGGTAGAATATGGAATGATCCAGGAAGCATTAAAATGGAAGCAGTATACAGAGACACTATACCAAAAGAATTGGCTGACACAGAAGAGATTGAGGTTGTTAACTTCAGCTTGTTCAGATCCACAATCAACACTCTTGACACCAGTAGTCCAGAAATCAAAAGATAAATTGCATTGCAGAAATTTGCTGTCAGGGACCTCTCTGAAGTACCATAGAACAAAGATGCCAGCCTCGATACTAAGGTGCTCCAGATCTGGGCCATGGTCATCACAATTACTTGCTATGCATCAGAGAGCTGAACAATGACTACGGATGACAAAGAAGAATAGATGCCTTTGATGCCAGAGTATTAAACATACCATGGACTGGCAAGAGACCAAATAGGTCTATCCTAGAGAGAGTGAAACCAGATTGCTTCTTGGAGGCAAGAATTTTGAAGCTCTGTCTCACCTATTTGGGGCACTGACCAGGAGGAACCAATCTCTGGAGAAGGACATCATGACTGGAAGGGTGGAGAGACAGCTTAAAAGAGGAAGACCTAGGATGAGAGGGACTGACACAGTAACTGGGGCTATGGGGGTAGGTGGGTTGGAGAACTGGCTTGCGACAGAGCAGATTTCAGAACTGTTGTACATAGGGTCACTTATGAGTCACGGATGACTCCATATCACATACAACAACAATAATATTTTACACCTAAAATCAACAAAATGTGCCATTAGTGGACGCAGATGCCTCTTAAAGTAGCCAACAGATGTGTTAAACAATCTAAAATAAGGATGGCTTGAGAGCTTGCAGAGGAGGCAACTGGATACATGCATATCATTTCCATTATTCTGATAAGCAACATCAAACCAAATGCTGTTGTTTTTATCAAGCAACCCTATTAACAGAATAGAATTGTCCTACAGTGGCTAAGAGGGAGTTCTGGTGGCCTACTGGTGTGGCGCTGCAATCCTGAAGGCATGTGATTCAAATCTACCAGCTGCTCTGTGGAAGAAAGATTGGCAATCTCCTCTGTTGTGATTAAATGCCTCCGAAAACCCACAAGAGGGTCAGCTATGGATCGGTCCTGACACAATGGTACATAACAATAGCAACAACACTGGCTAAGGAGTTGCACTGCCAACCCAAAGGTTCAAACCTACCAGCTGCTCTGAGGGAGAAAGATGGACAATCTCCTATGCAATTTACAGACTATAACAACCTATTGGGGTTCAGGTATAAATTGGTTCCAACTTGCTGGCAATAAGTTTAGTTTTAAGAGTTTTCTTAGCTGTAACTAATAAAACTAATTGCCAGGTGTTTTTTACAGAGTTATTTTTGGTTGAGTGCTTAACCACTGTGCCACTGGCCCTTGCAAAATGCATTAGTTTGAGGTTTATTCACTAGAAAGACCTCTAGTTTGGGAGAGATCCACCACATGTGAAGGTAAAAACAAGCTACTTTGAACAAGTGAATCAGGAGAATATTTACTGAGCTGTGAGAGATCTCTAGATTTTTCCTTTCTTAATAATGGTGGCAAAAGTTACTTACCTGCAGAAGATTAAAAGATTCTTTTCTAGGAAATCTAATGAGATCAAAGATAGTCTTTAATAGGACTTAATGTCTTCAAAGAACCGGCATGCCAGATTAAACTACGTTATCTTCAAAGAACCGGCATGCCAGATTAAACTACGTTAAGATCTCAATAGACAAGCCCCAAGTGCCAATGCAAAGCTTCTATTATTACCAAGGATCACAGATAAAGGCTAAACGCAATAAAAGCCCCAAAAAACCCAAACCAAACAAAACCCCAAACTGGAAAAAAAAAAGCAGCTTTAAGGTACAAGAGTGTTCTGTCCTGTCAGTTCCCTTCACTCAAATTCTGTTAATTACATGTCAATCAGATAGCATCTTCCTCCTTCCCCTCCAGAGGTAACTGGTAACTAGCTTTTAAAGATAATCATTCTTTTGATATTCTTAAGTTGTTGTTTCTATTGTTTGCCCCCTCACTTTATTTTTATCTTTTATCGGTTTGTACACAAAATGCATATATTTTATATCATTCACGTACATTGTGTACCACACATTCATTCTTACATTCATGTTGTGTTTCAATCACTCCTGTACACTGAATCACTCCTGTGTTTTATAAATTAATTGATCACCATTAACCTATGCCTTACTATTTATTTACCCAGTCTTTTCAGGTCCCCACTGGATCTTTCCCAATTCCTGTCCCTTCCTCTCCACCCAATACTTTGTTATTCTAGTGATTTCTTCTTCTCCCTTCCCTCAGCCTTCCTCCTCTGCCCCTTTTGGACTTTTATCCACATCTTACCAGTTAACCTTCTAATTCTACAATAACGGTTTTAGGTAGCATTTGTCCTTATAAGGCTAAGTCAGTTCACTCAATAATCCTCTCTAAAGTCTCCCATATTATAGCATATTTAACAAAACACAAGTTCTCAATCCATTAGACTGTTGATGGACATTTGGATGTGGAGAGACTGTAAACTCTCCAACCACTCCTGAAGGCAGTTCGGCATTTCCTCAAAACACGGAACACAGAAATCTCCTATGATCCACCTATTGCAATGCTGGGAATATACTCCATGGAAAACAGAACTGAGATACAAACAGAGATGTATACATCCACGTTTATAGCAGCATTATTCATAATACCAAGAAAATGGAAACAGCCCAAATAACCAACTTGTGCTATTCTTAATATATTTTTTTATATGTATGCTGTTGTTTTTGTCATCAAGTCAATTAAAGATCACAGAAAACCTACAGGACAGAGAACTGCTCCCCAGGGTTTTCTAGGCTGTAACCTTATGGAAGCATTAGCAGGCTGGTGAAGTCCAAATATTGATCTTCTAGTCAGTAGATGAGCATTTCACAACTTCACTTCCAGGGTTTTATATTTCTTTAAAAGAACTTGTTGCCACTGGAGCACGCCTGACTGGAGGCAATGCTGTAAGTTGTAGCCTAGCACTAAAACTAGTTTAATTTGGTGGTAAAACTGTTTTTGTCATCCAATAACTTTGAACAATATTTTATGTAGCAACTTACACTAGTGTTCATTACAGCACTATTTACAATGTTAAAACATGCAAACAACCCTTAAATGTCACCAATAGGCTGGAAAATTAATAAAGTGAAATTTATCCTGACACATAATAAGATATGGATGAACCAGGAAAACATCAGTGATAAGTAATACACAAAAGAACTACTATATGATCTCATGTGTATGAACGAAGCAAACAGAATAAAACCAGATCTTTTTAGTGGCTTTGGAAAGAGAGGGAAAAGGAGAGTTACTGTGTAGGGAATGTTGAATTTACGTTAATTTAAAAAAAGGATAATGATAACAGTTTACAATAAGAAGAATGTAGTCAACTAACAATACATGTAACAATTATTGAATTGGGGTTGGGGAAAACCTCAAGAGAGATTTAGGCAAATGAGAATAGATAAATAAATAAAAATCAATCAATCAATCAATCAATCAATCTCTTGGCAAGTTTGGTAATGGTGGCCACAGCAATAAATACAAGGAATAATTAATTCTAGAGAAAACAAAAAAGTTGTAAATAGGGGAAAAAGCAATCTTAATTTTAATATATCAAACAGCTCTGAATATTTTAAAAGTAAAAAATATAAATGTCAAAATTATAAAAATAAATCAGAAGGGGTCAAAGAGCAGGGAGGGGAGTGGGAGGTGGATGAAAAACCTCAACTGATAAAAATTTAACATTAAAAATCAGAAAGTACAGCAGATAAGCATATTATTTAGCTGTATACAGGTAAACTATGAAATAATCAGTAGTATTGTTGAAAGTGGCTGCCTCTACAGAAAAAAATGGGGTTAGAAGATTGGTGCAATTACTATGTTCATAACAATCCTCATACATGTAAAATTCTGACGAAAATGAGAATTCTATACTGAGACAAATTTATCCTTCATAAGAGAGAAATTGTTCTACATTTATAATCTCTTGAGTTCATGGCCCCAATTTATCAACTTGGAGATAAAATGTGAAATCACTCATTTGGTGAAGGTTTTGTTATATGTATTGAAAAATAGCAAAAATAAAATTTGAAATAAATTAACTTAAGGCACTGATTATGCATCACTTTAACTCATTTCCAGTTAGTCAGTGATGAGAAGCATGCAAACAGCATAAAAATATTTAATGCCTTAGTAAAATTACAACAAGGCATATAAAAACTTCGTTAATAGTGAGACAAGTACATCTTGTTTCCTTGTACTTTATTCTTCTGCTTGTAGATACTATGTTTTTAAATTAAAAGTTTGTAACAAAACTGTGTTGAGCAAATCTATTCATGCCATTTTTACAACAGCACACACTTATTGTGTCTGTGTCACATCTGGACAAGTCTCAGAATTTCAAACTTTTTAATAATGCTATTGAACATTTGAAAGAATATAGTACAGTATTATTATTACTTTTATATGCACTGGGAAGCCAAAAAAATTCATGTGAGTTGCTTTATTGAAATACTCTCTACTATGATCTAGAACTGAACTTGAAGTAACTCCAAAGGAAGCCTATCTAGCAGTTACATAATTTCAATCCTCAAGAAGGAAAACATGTTCAAGTTACTGTCATTAACTATTTCAAAGCCTTCAAATTTGAATCTTCTGAAATTTTCCTAATACTATTCTAACATTATCTTTCTCTCTGTAAAATTTTGTTAATGACCCTCAACCTTGATTTTGAGTACTTAAACTGGTAAAGGTCAACGAAAGCCAAACACAACATTCTATGCTTTTACAGAACACTTTTAATGAACTATCAGCATCCAAAAATGTTGCTGAAAATTAAGTAAGCTGGCTGCTAGCTAGAGGGAAAAAAAGCTTGCTTACCTGAAGTTTTTCACATGGTCTTCTACACCAGAAAGTCGAATAGAATGTTGCAATGCACTCAGGTAAGTCAGAGCTTGTGTAGAAGATCCCCAGTTCACATCTGTGCGAAAAGAGTGCCCAAGTAGTATAGCAACAACACTGACCACCATCAGTAAGAAATGATATGCAGAGTTATATAACGCTTTCAGAGTTAAACATGTTCATTTTTGCATTAAATAACTATACTTGGTGTATACACACACACACATACTGTGTGTATATATATACACATATATAATAAAATACATTAACAACTACGTATAACAATTAATATTATGTATAAATAAATAACTATACTTGGTATATATTATACTATGATTACATTTAAGACTAAATGTAATTTAGAAAAGATTAAGATAAGACTGCAGACATGCTGTGCATGCAACTCCTGAAGAGATCTTTACTGTTTACAAATACACCCAAATGTCTAAATGGAAAGAGAGATAATACAATTTGTAAATCTAACGGTTTATACTATTCATAGTAATTAATAGAGTGGGCTACTTGAATGCCTATTTATTATTAAACAATTTAGAAGCAAAGTATTTGAGACATTTGTGACTCAGTGATTTAATATGCATTATCAGAGAAATAAACAGTAACTTCATTGTGAATTCCACTCCGAGAACTACTTCTGTAGTACAAAACACCATCACACCTATCTAGATTACAAATTATCTCCTCAAGGTTTGAAACTACTTTTTTGCAGATACTTAACTGATTCCTAACCTATCCTACTAGACCAAATCTTTTCAGGCCTTTCATACTGCATCTTTCTTTGTATAAGACCATACAATAAATAGTGATGACATTGAATACTGGCTCAATCCCAATATATTTAAATATCATCTTCCTATCTAGAAATACTCAGCATTTATTAATATAGCACATATAAACAGTCTTTACTAGTCTGTAGTTAAAAACACGCTGCTCCCTAGGCCTATTAAAGTAGGAATATGTATGTATATATGATTACTAGGCAAAAATCTTTAGTATTACAAATCTGAATGTTTTCTAAAAAATTTTACAATATATTCAGTACAGAATGCTCGTTATATAAATTTATTTTTCTCTATAAAATTTAATGTGTGCATAAAAATGAAAATACATAGGTTCAAATGTCTCAAAGTAATTCTTTCATTGAAGCAGCATACATACATTTGGAAGTATTTTAGTTGTTGTAGGTAAAAACTGAAGCATTATTTAAGAAAGTTGGAAATTTTATAGCTTAAAGTACTAAACAGAAAAAAGCTACAAACCTGGTTTTTTGTAGGTAACGTAAATATATAGTCCAAGAACTATAACATACGTAAGCAATGCTGCCCACCAGTTAATAACAAACATCACGATGCAGCAGAGAATTGCTCCAATCAGTGATATCCACATGTTGTAGTATTTGAATGCAGGGCGCCATCCTAACAAGAACAAAAAAACCTCTCATTAAATAAAAATCACTCAAGTGACTCATCTGTTTACATATTGGCATAGGCACAAAATAGTAACTTTTCAATGTGGCTACGAGGGAGCTCTGTTGAGACTAGAGGGTAAACCATTGTGTTGCCAACCTAAAGGTGGTTGTTGAATGCCTTCGAGTCAAACACGACTCATAGTGACCCTATGAACAAAAGGCCTGAAGCCTTTCCATAACTATCAACATTTGTCAAAGTTAACAAGAGTTTCCGGAGGCATGTTGTTTAGGAAGTGGATGCCACAGTTCAAACTGACCACACACTGTGTGAGAGAAAAGAGGGGAAGTGTCCTCCCATGTAATTCAGAGCCTCTGAATACTGGCTAGTGAGTCAGCGCTGAGTGGGTTCTGATGTGACATTAATTTTAATGAATGTTTACAGAGATTTTGGATTTCCATACATGCATTGTTGCATTTTTCTCCCTGCTCACCTTTCCCCCCAGTCTGCTCTTCTCTTTGAAAAGTTGTTGTTGTTATGTGCTATCGAGTCACTTGGGTCTCATAGCGATCCTATGTACAAGAACCCTAAACGTTGTTCTATCCTATGCCAGCCTCGCTGTCTGAAACACACTCATTCCCACCACTCCACTCACACAATCAATCCATCTCATCAAGGGTCTTCCTCTCCTGTGCTGTCCCTCCACTCTCCCAAACACAATGTTCCTCTCCAAGGACCAGTCCTTCCTTGCAACATGCCCAAGGTATGTCAGACAAAGCTTCAGAATCCTTGACTTGAAGGAGCATTCTGGCTTCACCCTCTCAGAAAAAACCTGTTTGTTCTCCCAGCAGTCCATGGTATCTTCAGTACTCTTCTCCAGCACCACAGCTCAAAGGCATCAATTCTCTTTCTTCCCTATTCACTGTCCAACTCTCCGATGCATAGCACATAACTGCAAAGACTACAGCCTGGATGAGGCGCACCTTAGTTTCCAGCCTGATGTCATTGCTCCTCAGTACTCTTGAGAGGTTCCTCACAGCTGACTTTCCCAATGCAATTCATCTCCTGATTTCCTGGCTGCTGTTACCAACAGTGGTGACCATGGAGCCATGCAAACTAAAACTGTTAACTATCTCAATCTCTTCACCATCCATAATGATGCTACCAATTGGCCCAGTGATGAGAATCTTTGTTTTCTTGATGTTGAGCTTCAATCCATATTGAAGACTGCAGTCCTTGACCTTCTGCAGCAAGCGCTTCAGGTCCTCCTCAGTTTCAGCAAGCAGGGTTGTGTCATGTGCATAATGCAGGTTGTTGATGATTCTTCCACCAATCCTGATGCCACATTCCTCCTCGTACAGAACAGCGTCTCAGATGATCTGTTCTGCATACAGATTGAAAAGGTATGGAGACAAAATACATCCCTGACGGACCCCTTTCTTGATTTTGAACCATCCAGTGTCTCCCTGCTCTGTTCTGACGACTGCCTCTTGGTACAAGTATAGGTTTCACATTAGCACAATCAAATGTTCTGGTATTCCCATTCTTCTCAGAGTCAGCCACAGCTTGTTGCGATCCACACAGTCAAAAGCCTTTGCATAGTCAATGAAGCAGAGATAGACATTCTTCTGGTATTCTTTGCTTTCGGCCAAGATCCACCTAACATTAGCTATAATATTCCTAGTACCACGATCTCTTCTAAAACCAGCCTGCACATCTGGCAGTTCTCTGTTGACATACTGTTCCAAGAAAAATTATTTCATTGGTATAGAATCCCCTCCCCTCTGCCCCAAGTACACTCCACTATGCAACCTTCACTCTGGACTCTTATCATAACCATAATACCCAATCATATATCGCTTTTAAACAATTCTCTCCCTCATATGTAATGCAGTATAATTTATCCTTAAAGAACATGTTTTTAAACTTTCCTAATTGGGATGGGAGTGTCAGAGACAGTGCGATTGGCACAGGACAGAGCGGAGTTTAGGGCTGTTGTACATACGGTCGCTATGAGTCGCAGGCGACTCGACGGCACATAACAACAACAAGAGAAAATTAATATTCATGTGTTTTAAATCAAAATTTAAGTCTTTCAAAAAGGAATTCCCAAATATAGTTCCAGAGACAAAAACACTTTAAAAACCATTACAGTATAGTCATTTTAAAAATAACGACTAAAGTTGAAAAGTGTTTCCAAAGTCATCCTATATTTTGTGCTCTCGCTTTACTGAGCTTTCATTAGACATTTTTTGTTCTTCTTTCCTGATCATCTCTTGTCGGCTTATTTTTTTTTAAAGCTATCTTGATAAAAACTCCATTTATTAAAATTCCACAGAACTCACTGTGTAAAAAAAAACTTCTGCAAAGAACAAATCAAACCAAAGCAAACCCGTTCTATCAATATGACTCCAACTCAATGAAACCCTAAAGTTTATGGGAACAGCCTGTCAAATCTCTTTAGAGAGAGCATCAATGAGTCTGACTGGCCTTTCATTCTGCAGGTAAGTTCTTAATCACTGCAAGATATATGCTTCCACGAGAAAGGCCATCAACAAAATCAGGAATAAATTCCACCCATTCTTAATTCTTTTAAGCCAAATCTATACATAGTTAGATGGTTCACATGTGTCAAATATATAAATATATATTTACATATAAAATTGTCAAATACTGACCAGCAGATATGTACTATTTCACACATTAAAATTATTGAAGAAACACTACCAGATACACTTAAAAATCTTTAATAATATAAGGTTTTTATATGCTTTGTAAGTAGCTCCAATTTACTATTACAAACCATTTCATGTACCCTGAATTTTTAATATAACAGGTTTTAACTGTAACTAAAAATTTTATATAAGACAATGTCATAACCTAGGGGCTGCTTGCTTATCACAGTAAGGTTCTTGGTATTTAATTACTAGGAAATCAGCTAAATAAACAGGGGAGAGGAGGATAAAACAAAACAAGTATCAACCAGAAAAATGGAAAGGGTTCTACTACCTTCAGTATTATGAACACAAAAAATAGATTATTAGTAAATTTCCTGACAAAGGGATCTCTGAAGGTTTAATTTAAACTAAAAAAATTAAGAATCTAATCACATATTTTTTCTGATATTAAAAAAACCCCACAATTATGAAATGTTTTGAAAATGTATAATCACCTGGAGATTTTGCAAGAGATGCATGGAATACTGAAAAATTGATCAATGCATATGATGCCAGGAAGAAGTTAGAGATAATTGGAGCAATAACATTCAGTTCAGCTGCAAAAGAAACATAAGGGCAATTTAATGACAAACATTTTTAACCCTTTTCGTAATTAAGTAATCCAAATCTTCAGATCACAGCATAATGAACACCTCTACACCTACTATACATATTTAATATTTACATTTTATCATATATATATATTGTTCTTATACTTTATTTTCCAGAAATTCATCCATTAATGTAATTGAAACCTCCTTTAAACATCACTGTTCTGAAATGGATGTATTCTTCCCAATTACAACACACGGACCTACTATACACATATATATATAAAGATTCTGTAGAAAGCTTTGGGTAAGTGAATTAACAGTTCTATTTTGAGACTCATCGATATTAACACAAAACTAATTCAACTCTTAATTGGAAAATACTAGTCCTCAGTTTCATTTTTTTTTTTTTTGATAGGTATTTAAGTTCTTTCTACATTTTTCATTATTAAAACTGTTGTTGTTGGTAAGTGCTGTCGAGTTGCAGGCAACTCATAGTAACCCTATGGATGAAAGTCCTGGACACCTGTATAATTTCCGTCCTTTCACCAGGTTCATAGTGTTTTCAGAGGCAAGCTATCATGGAAGTAGATGCCACTCCTGCTTTCAAGCTTGTTTTAATTGGGGAACTCCACCAAACCCTGTCCACCATGGGTAACCATTCTCGCATTTGACTAATCAGTGTCACAGTGTTCAGCTTCACAGCAACCACGAGTTACCTCTGCACAGTTATTAAATTATTACATACAGTTATTAATTATTAATATTAAAGATACTATAAATGCATTTGTAGATGTTCTTTGGGGATATATGACATTTTCAATGCTATAACTAAAAATAGAATAGCTGGATGATGGGTCATTACTGTATAATGTCAAATTGCTAATCAAAAGTAGATGCACCAACTACATACATTTTATGTAATAATGGTAGGTATGGAGTTAATGCATTATTGTAGGGTCTGTCAAGTTTTCTATGATTCACAGTAACTCTATAAAGAAAAGATTCAACCCTTGCCTTATCTTTCGCCATCATCACTATCTCCATCACACTCAAGCCAATTGTTGCAGTTACTGTGTCAATCCACCATGCTGAGGGTCATGTAATTCCATAAAAGCTGGTGTATATTAGCCCATAAAACATAGTAGTAATATTGGACTTTGAATATACTTTTAATAAGACTATAACCTTAAGCATGGATTACTTATCAACATCAAGAAAACAAAAATCTTCACCAATGAACCAAAAGTTATCAATCTACTTGGATCCACAATCAACCAACACCCATGGAATCCACAATCAAGAAATTAAATGGCATATTATACTAGGCAAATCTGCTGTCAACGACCCCTTTAAAGTGTTACAAAAACATAAAATACTAATATTCAAGTTCAAATTGAAACTAAAGAAAACAAAACAAATACACAAGAACAAAACATTAATCTTGAGTTTTTCCCACCTGAATTTAAAAATCATATGAGGAACTAATGGTCACAGACCAGGAGAGCTGTAGGAAGATATCAAGAATATCATCCATAAAGAATGTAAAAGACAGAGGTGGAAGACAAGACTCATTTGGACATTAGAAGAGACTCTGAGTACTACACTAGAATGTCAAGAAGCCAAAGCAATGGGTAGAAATCAGGAAGTTAAGGAGCTGAAGAGAAGATCTCAAAAGGCAGCTGGGAAAGACAAAGCAGTTTTATAATGAAATATGTAAACAACTGAAGTAAAAAAATCAAGGACAAACTCATCCAGCATTATTTAAGCTGAAGACATGTTAACAAATTCAGTCCTCAATGGGCAGAATATTGAACAATCCAGGAACATCAAAAGAAGATGGAAAGATACAGAATCACTATACCAAAAAGAATTGAAGAATGTCATAAAACAACACATGATTGAGAGGCAACGGTGATGAAGGGGAAAGTTCAAACTGCTCTAAAGGAACTAGGAAAAAAGGAGGCCCCAGGAATTGGTAGAATTCCAACTGACATATTTCAACACACAGATGCTGCCCTGGATATGCTCACCAGGCTGTGGCAAGAAATCTGGAGAACAGCTACCTGGTCAACTGACTGTAAGAGATCTATATTTATACCCAGTCAAAAAAAAAAAAAAAAAACCCAAACAGGTGATCCAACAGAGTGTGGAAATTATTAAACAATATCACAGACAAGCAAAATACTACTGAAGATTATCCAAAAATGACTGCAACAGTACATCAACAAAGAACTACCAGAAATGCAGGCTGTGTTTAGAAGAGGCCACTGCACTAGGGACATTATAGCCTAGGTCAGATGGATCTTGGCTGAAAACACAGATTACCAGTGGAATGTCTATCAGTGTTTGTCTATGAAAATGTATTTTACTGTGTGTATCACAATAAATTGTGGCTAACCTTGAGAAGAATGGGAATCCCAGAACACCTGATTGTGCTCATGTGGAACCTACACTTTGGACCAAGAGGTACTCATCACAACAGAGAAAGGACACACTGCATGGTTCAAAATCAGAAAAGAAATGTGTCAGGGATAAATTCTTTCTGGAATGGAGGACAACTCAACCACCTGTGTCATGCAGATGACAGACACTATACTGCTTGCCTAAACTGGGAGGGACCTGAAGCATTTGAAGCAAAAGTCAAGGATTGTAATCTCCAATATGGATTGAAGCTCAACATCCAGAAAATAAAGATTCTCATCAGTGGGCCAATTGGCACCATCATAATAGATGGAGATGAGACTGAGACTGTTAACAATTTCTGCTTCCTCAGCCCCATAATCAACACTCTTGGCACCAGCAATCAGGAAATCAAAAGACTGACTACACTGAGAAAATCATCTGTTGGGGACCTCTTCAGAGAGGTGAAGAGCAACAATGTCAGTCTGAAACGAAGGTGTGTGTAATCTAGGCCATGGTCTTGGCAATAACTTCCTATGTATCAGAGAGCTGAACAATGACTAAGGATGACAGAAGAATCGATGCATTTGAGTTGTGGTGCTGCAGAAGAGTACTGAACATAGCATGGACTGACAAGAAAACAAACAGGTGTGTATCTTGGAAAGGACAAAACCAAGTTGCTCCTTGGAGACAAGGATTTTGAAGCTCCTTCATCCCACATACTCTGGGCATGTTCCTAGGAGGGAGGAGTCCTTAGAGAAGGATATCATGCTTGGAAGTGTGGAGGGACAGCATAGGAGAGGAACACCTTGTATGTGATGGATTGACACAGTAACTTGGGTAAATAGGGTAGGTGTGTTGGAGAGAGTGATCTTGGCTCAGGACAGGGCAGGGTACAGAGCTGTTGTGCATAGGTTACTATGAGTTGTAGGTGACTTGACAGCAAATAACAACAATAACAACAGCAACTTCTCTGAGAGCTTAGATGAAACTCTTCCAAAGTCCAATGCCTTTTTTAATCAGTAAAAAGCTTTTAAGCTTGAGTTAACCACCACCGAGAACACTGGAAACCTCTTTATGCTTTTTAGAAATTTCGATTAGGGTCAAAATTTTAAGAGTTTGTTCTAGCTCTAATAAGGACTTACTAAAGAAATTAATAATATTCTAAATAATTTTGTACTTGTAGATTATAATTCAATGTTTACAACTAATACCAAAAACATACTGAAACCTTCATTTTTACTTCATATATATGACTAACCAATTAGGATAAATCCAAGCGCAATTAAAAATGTTAAGATGTATCCACGAAGAGGTTCATTATTCTTTCCATAACCTTTAGCAAACATCTGGAAAGCTGGATAGATATTGTCCTTACATAGAGCCTAAGGAAGAGAGGTAAAGATTAAGAAAGGTATATCAAAATTTGACATATAAATTTGTTTAGTAACATCAATCAAAATGGAATCCAAGTTTCTAATTACTGGTCTTCTTTCTCTGTTTCACATTACTTCAGGTAAAAAAGTTGCT